AAAAAAAAAAATACTACCTCTGGGTGAAAGGGACTGTCACATTTTAAGAGAACCATGTGGGATGAGACACATCTGTCATCTGTCACCCTTGATTGTGGAATTGTGTTTTTTCTCTTAGCATGTTTGTCAGGCTTTTGGCTGATATATCTATATATCAATGTCTGTCTGTTTGTCTGTCTATCTATCTATCAATCTATCTATCTATCTGTCTATCTATCGTTATTTGAGGCTGTATCACCAAATGCTTGGATCTTTTCTGACTCAATTTTTTCTGTGTTACCTTGGAAATCACAACCCACATAAATAACTTTTCAAATTCCAAAGCTAATGAGTAAAGATAGCCCTTAATTCTTTTCACCTCTCCTCCTAACTCTATGCTTTTGTCACCAGGCACCTTGATAGTCTACCTTTATTAAATCTTACAAGGTGTTTTTATGTTAAGATTTCTGCTTACATATTTACCATTTCCTTTGCTTTCCTTTGTGCATCTCATGCTTGCCATGTTGTGCTGTGATGAATTCTCTCATTTTTGTCTGTGGTGAATTGAATTGTTTGGCTTTAAGCAGCTGCCATGCGTGTCTTAAGTTTAGTCAGAGGTTTCTCCATGTGTAGTGAGTTGTGTAGACAGAGTGTCACCTTCACTTGTAACTGAGCCTTAGCCAATCACAAGCAGCCTACTGTCCAGATATGACAGTTGGGCTCTGACCCACCAGGCCATCTGTCTCTTCCTGCACCTCACTTCTGTTTTCTTTAGAGCTTGCTCATATGGTTGGAAAGAGCTTTGCCAGCCATCTTTGGACCAGACTGTGGCCCGATTCTAGAGTCAAAGCCAATTAAGACATGTGAAATGAAATCTTTTGTAATTTTGTCCCTTAACATCTGAAAAATATTTCAGATTTTACTTTTGTTTCTGAGAGGTATGTTTGGGGGTAGCATTCCAGTGTGGCTGAAATTTGCAGACAGAGCTCTGCTGCCTACTAGCTGTCATTGGTCCTCTCTAGGCTTTTGTTTTCTCTACCCCCTACCCTCTCTTTTCTTCTTCCTCTACCTCTTCCTTGTTGTAGCTAAAAAATCAGATGACAATGAGGCAAGTCCAAAAGTTAGAAGAAGCGCTTTATTTTAGTTGGTACCCAGCGGCGGTCTCTATGCAAGGTGCAAAGAGGCGCGCCGAGCATTAACAAGGTGCAGTATTTAAGCTTGAAAACCGCAGAAATAGGGGAGGGGTGGAGAGGAAGTAGTGGCAGGGTCACTAGTTCATTGGGTGGTCCTATTGGGTGGGGGTGCTGAGTTGGTGAGGTCATGAGTTCATCGAGTGGGCCCATTGGGCGGGGGTGCTGAAATCATGCAGAGTTCTGCAGGACAAGATAAGGTTTGGGGTACAGATGTCATAAGACTTGGGTCATAGGGGTGAGGGGTTGGGAGGGGTAGGCACATACAGAACAGGAACTCGGTGAGGTTAGAAGGGCAAAAAAATGGAGTCAATTTGACAGGGTATAACATTCCTCCTTCTTCATTTTGGCTTTTTGAGACAGGATCTCACTATGCAGTTCAGGCTTGAACTTACTCTATAGCCCAGGCTTGCCTCAAACCTGAAGCCATCCTCCTACGTCAGCCTCCGGAGTCCTGGGATTATAGGCCTGGGTCACTATACCCAGTCCTGTTTTCCTTTCTTTGGGCAGGAGATTCCTCACTGTCCTCCATGAATGCTTTTATGAAGGTTTTATTTTTTATTTATTTTTAAAATTTATGTATTTGGTACATGGTCTCACTGTGTAGCTCGACTCATAGTGATCCTCCTGTCTTCAGCCTCCCCAGAGCTGGGATTAAGCCACCACACCTGGACATGGTCGCCAGCTCATTGTGCCCCAGGATGAGACTGGCACAGCATGTGGTACTGGGGATCAAACCCCTGTCCCTGCGCTTGCTTAATATTAAAGTATTTATCTAGCATTTTAAGTTGTTCTTTACAAGGTGATTAGCACAAATCATCCAATGTCCTGTTTCCCCAAACTAGAACAGTATTGTTTTTATTTGAATTGTAAAGGAACATGTGAGCATCTGATCATTTTTGAAATCCTAGCCTTTACCATGATTTTATCAC